GAAGGCAACCGAAGTGGAGTAAACCCTAGGAGTGAGCATGTGCGAGTGTAATTTTAAGTTAATTTATCTTTGCATATTTAGGGTTTTCTACCGTATTAATTTTCAGTTAGTCTTTCCATACAATCCTATTAACATACATCTAAGCAGTTTATAGTTTGCGGGAAAAAATGCGGGAAAGTTAAAAGTCCTAGCAATTACAAGGCTTTTGCAGATACATAATTATTTTGACCGAAAATAAAGATGCGGAATTGAAAACCATAATTACTATTACAAACTCAGAGCAGTTACAATAATAATAAAAAGGAAATTAAAAATGAGCGCGGCGAATTAAATGCGAGAATAATTGGAAAACCTAAAAATTTAGTTGAAAAAGTATTTAGGTTATTTTTTGAGAAAAGATTAAATTATATACAAATTAACCCTAATTCTAATTAATTTAAATTATGAAAAAGAATTAAATTGCCCTAATTTTGATTAAACTAATTAATTAAAGAAATAAAATATTTTATTAAAAAAATGATTTTTAATGTTTTTATGATTTTTTGATTAAATAAAAAATAAAAAAATTTTTGTGTTATTTTGTGAAAGGAAATAATTAGTAAATAATTAAAATAAGAATTAAAATAAAAAGAAAAGAAATTGGGCCTGTATGAGCTGAATGAGGGGGTGTACGCTGAACTTATCCAGGCCTATGAAGCTAAGGCCCAGCCAACGCGCTGATTCTGTGCAGCCATGCTTGGAGGGTGTACCATGGACTTCCCTTTGACTGAGCGTTGGATCTGGATTAGTGACAATCCGATGGCTAGATGGTTGGAGTGCATAGTGGATGTCTGGCTGTGTAAAGTATGGAATCCGTAATTAAACATTGTGAAAATAACAAAATGCTGGGATCTGGGATCGAACTCAGGTCCTTTCACTCTCAAACGTGCGCCCTTGCCATCTGTATTGCATATTTTATTTGTTAATATGATAATAACAATATATAATATATGAAAAACAAGTGGATAATTGAATAAAAGAAAACGCGCGCCAGTCATTCAAATGGTCCGATACTATGGTGCCAAGTCATCGTCTCCTTCGTTGAGACCATCATTTTAGGCCAAGACTTTTACCTACAGACAAACTTTTGTAGCTATAACCCTGTAAATTTCCAAAATTCATATCAAGCATGATAAATCAATTGTGAGTACATAGATCAACTCGTCTTGATGCCACGAGCATCATGGTACCCTTTTCTTGGGCCAATTTAACCCGTGCAAGGAAACCCTAAAACGACCAAACAAACCCTAGCCATGGTGTTCATCAATATATGCATCAAAACGCAAAATTAAATAAATCAAAACATTCCAAATGATGATACAAACACAATGTTATGCTCAAAAGTGAACAATTATGCGTAAACTGTAAAATCAAAGTCAAGTTTAGATATGTATACCGTGGGTCTGTAACTCACGATTCTGGACGTGAAAATGCTTGCAATTAATTGAGACACGTTCTGGAGATGTCCAGGAATCTATTGGCAGTCTTAAAATGGCTTGAATTATCCTCTAAGCTTGAAACTGATCCACACCTTTTTGCAAAAATTTCGAGTTTTCTTGCTAGCTTTCACGACCTCCAATCCTTGTTCTTGCGCATTGGTTATGTTCAGTATATATAATGTGATGAATTAGGGAAACAAAAATGGTTTGAATCTTTGTAAATCATGGAAATTTGATTTGATTTTGTCTTTGTATTATATCTTTCCAAAACAAGCATAATCATGCCAATTTTCTCCAATTATCCCTTGATCTCATTTGATATGATTTGGCAGCCTAATTGGATTTGATTTCTACAAAAAATCAGATCAAAAATCAATCTTTTATATTTTTTTGCAATTTATTTGATTTAATTTGAATTTTAAATAATAAAAAATCAAAATAAAATAAATAATGAAGCAAATAATGTGTGGGTGCTGATTTGGGTCGTGGACCATGTATCTAACAAGATTCAATCATGAAATGCTAGGCCTATTTGCCAAAAAAATGCACTTTTGAGCACATTTGACTTTTCGCAATTTTCCAAAAATTGTCAACTTTGACAATACATATCTCCTCCAATTTTAACCCTAGAGAGGTGTTCTTGGACTTTTTAGAAAGCTTAGAATGTCCCCTAAACAACCCTTTTGGTTTCATCTCAATTGGGTCTTCCATGTTCATGTAATAAGCTTTGACCCAAAAGGTGTTTTTGTTGACTTTTCAAAAGGACATATAATGTAGAAATTTATATCTTTTGATGAGTGCATATTTTGAACTTGTGGGATGAATATTAATTATAGGGAATTTCATCCTCTTCAAAATGAGCCTTGGGTGGAAAATTTCTGATAAAGTATGAAGAAGTTATGCCTGTTCAAAGTTTGGTTGACTTTTTCTAAGAAAGCCTAATTTAGCAACTTTTGGGTTTTGATGAATTTGGGTCATTCCTTGAGGAATCATGATCAACCCTTAATAAAATGATAAATACCACTTAAAAATGTTGATGTTGACCAAAAATCTTGAAGTTTTACTATATGTGGGCCACAGTTGACTTTTGACCTAATATAGTTGATTTTCAAGCATCTGAGCAGTTGATTGGGCAAACTTCTTGTGCAAGGCATGAAACTTAACATGGATGATCCTGAGAACATATTAGGACCATGGAAAGCATTTGGGACCTTTGGACTTCAACCATCTTGATAAAAATGGAAACCCTAGTTTGAGGTACATTTCCTTGGGAGAGAGTTTGTCTGGTCAACTCTTGGGCATCCTTGAGCAAGCTGAGGACCTCAATGGGCATGTGTTGAGTAAAATGAGAGAGCAAATTTTGGGGTACAATAAGAAGCTACACATGTCTTGATGAGACGTTTGGGAAAGTGGCCATTATGACCATGATGTCATGAGAATGTTGGCATTAGTGTCTAAAAAGTCTTTCAAAAAATGTCCTTTTCTAAAGTTATCGAAAAGAAACATTTTTGGGGCGCAATTTGTTAGTTATAATTTCGACGCTCCAACGAATAAAGGTTCGAGGAGAAGTCGAAAGACAAGTGTCAGAATGATAGAAGCTAATTTAGATATGAAGTGATAGAAGACACATTTTGACCAGTTTACACGGATGAAGCAATACAAGGCGAATAACTTAGCAATTTCTCTGAAGATACTCGAAGTGGGTTCGACAGATATTCAAATGAGGCTATAACCGATTTTAGCTCTTATTCGGTCTTTGAAAAAGAGATACGTGGAAGCCCGCGAAAGGTTAGAGACATGCAAATAAAGACATGTCATCCTCTAAGAAGAAGACTTTTCCTTACAGTTAGTTTCAAATTATTATATATAGGAGTTTTTATGTTAGAATTCTGCGTGTTCACTTCTTTGTACAAATTACTCAAAATAACTCAAAGTACCAAGTGTTCGAGAAGCGATTTGCTGAGAATGTACGTATGAAGCATCGATTTTATATTCAATGTCATTCATTTTCAATTGAAGTCTTTTATATTTCTTTTAAGTTTAAATCAAAATTGCTTTACATTCCAGGTTTTAATTTAAATCATTTTATTACTACTTTCGAAGTAGCAATCTCTATCGAAGAGATTGACGTCCAGAAAACTTAGAAAAATAAAATATATACTATTGTCATAGGATCAATCTAGTCGATTCTGTAAACAACAAGAATCTCTAGGATTCAGAAGACTAGCATTTGTTTACCAAATTTTACGGTAAACACGCAGCCTCAATTATCCACAAATCAGTCTCAGAAAATCGGAGCTTGCACAAAATCCAACGGTCGGATCGTCTTGAAATTTTGACACAACGTTCATGACTCATAACAACAAATTCTGAACAGTGGTGATTGGATTCGGAGCTTTCTAAGTCAGGCTATTGAGTCCATCTTTGAGGTCGGATTTTCTTAGTGTTTTTTGGGTTGTTTTATCTCTCTTGATTCTTGTTGTATTCCAAAATTAATTACAAATCTTGATGATGTTTATGTATGTCTCTAACTAGTGTTATAGAGAACCTTATTTATATCTATTATTGATTATAGTAGAATATTTAAGTGATATACGGATTCCGCGATTTTTTACTCCTAATAAAGAAAAGTTTATTCAATTGTTCTGATAACAAGAATGAACGAAACCTACGTCAACTCAAACTCACATGTGGCGCCCGTGACATGTACTGTTTCAACTTTGATTTTAGAAAGGATTTGAACGAAGACTGACGCGGTGTATGTGTGGCTTGTGGTTTAGATTTCAAAGCTGAGGTGGAAGAGAAGGGAAAACATGTGTAATGGTTTGTGCTATATTGCTATTATTTTTTAAGTATCTTGTTGTTTTATAGTTGTTAAAAATTAAAGAATGTTATTCAGAATAGAATGTAAAGATTAAAAAATGAAGGTATACATTTTGTTAATCATTTAATTTGTCTTAGCAACTGCCTCTGTTGATTAGTAGTATTTCAATAATCTTTCAATAAAAAAATTGTAACGCGGAAAACTACACTTCTGATATTAAAATAGAAGTGGAGTTAAAATGCTAGAAAATATTGAATTTAACAAAAGATTAAACAAGTTTTAATTAAGGACAAATTATCAAAGAGGACTTAACTTTGAATCCTAGTCGAAACAGTGTTTAATCAGACTTTCTTTCTTCTTGAATTTTGAATTATAAAAGTACTCTTTCTTTCTTTCTCTAAGTGGGAATAAAGATCTCCAAACCTAAAAGACTTATTTTACTTTTTCTTTAAATATTTATCGTTTCTAGTCCAACCTTTATATAATACCAGTTACATATCTCTCAACTTAAACATAAAGCAAAAATCACAATGCACTCCATCCATAAAGTTACAACAACAATTAAACTTTATTTTACTAGGTGAAATCCATTATATAGATTATCTTTTATCATAATATTTTATCTAAAATCATGCTTTTATTCAAATCATCCATAACTTGTTATAAAACAAAAACACAGATCTTAGAAAAATGTGTAATTAATTCAAACCTATTGAAGTTGTCGGTAAGAGTTGTCGCAATCCCCTTCTCATTTGTAGTCGGAGTCTAATAATCATGACAAATACATGAGAAATGAACCATAATGTATACATGATAATGAATCCGGAAAATTCCCAGTTGTCCGGAAAGAACATCAACAGCAAAGAAACAATTGAAAGTGAAGCAAACACTTCCATGAAGGTATCTAACCTTGTGGCAAACTGAAGGTTAATCCAATAGCCCATACAATAGAGTAGAAAGCTAGCAATAGAGACTAACATTGTCTTTGGATGAAGTTGAAATGCAGTGGGATTATTTGGATAACTAATTTGGAGGAAAGCAAGGAGTACAAAAAACATGAAGGTGACAAGACCATGAAGAGGATTCGTTTCTAGTTTTACTCCCATGATGTTGTTATAAACATGAACACCGACAACATTAATTGTCACTTGATGATTTCTAGTAAAACTGGATCTTGTTCTTGCCAAATCCTCCATGAAGCAAATTACTACTAGTAGATATTTTTCAAATATGGGTAATGGAAACTCTCCTACACGGGAATATATATAGCATAGTATAATAACTTGCCATGAATCTTCTTCTTATATTTAATAAGAAGTCTAATCAAGCATATAAGGGAATGTTGGACAACATTGGTCACGCAAATACATTTTTCAGAAGGAAACACCAAACATATTAATATTATAATTAAGGTAGACTTTTGGACATGTCCACGTCGTGGGCTTCTGGCATGTTAGCAAGTATTTTAACAGTGTTGACGCAATCAAAGTAAATTATATTGGTGGCAAGCAAAAATCGATTTGAATTAGTGAGGGATAAAATTGATTCTAACATAATTGATTCGAACATAATTAAATTTATTTAATTGATTTAAATTTAAATAAAAATAAATTAAATAATAAATTTCAATATAAAAATTATTCATAATAAATTTTAAAGACAGAAACTACAAATTTTAACTTTAATAAAATTAATTATAATGACAAAATAAATTTTAATTTTAATAAATCAAACGCCTTAAACTCACCCAAAATCAATTCTATATATCTAAAATTAATTTTGAATCTTCCAAAAATCAATCTTAATATATTATAATATTAATCAATCATAAATATGTTCAAGAAACTTTATTTAATCTATGCATTACACACTCAGTTAAAAATAGTATCACACATATGTACTGTTATTTAAAATACTAAATTTATATATATATATATATATATATATATATATATATATATATATATATATATATATATATATATATATATATATATATATATATATATATATATATATATATATATATATATATATATATATATATATATATATATATATATATATATATATATATATATATATATATATATATTCAAAATAACATTTAAAAATGCCATAAAAAGATAAATAAAATAATTCTTATAGAAAATTATTTAAATGTATCATATATTAAATGTCAAAAGTAAATATTGTTAGTTAGAAGTTGTCAGAAGAGTTTATACACTAGTAAGTTCTATGTGTGAATTTCTGTTTATTATTATTATTATTTCATCGCCAAAAAATATTTAATTGAATTTTTTTTTTAAATATTAAAAAATAATAATATGAGTTAATTCAAATCAGATGAAATATTTCATTCCTTTTGACCATAGTGACAAAAATACCACTACTATGCTAACTTTATGGGTTTAGAAATCAAATTTTTAAGAATACATGGATAAAAAATAGTATACCTCATATTTGTTATAAAATTAAAAAGAATTAATTTTTGAATATAATGATTACCAAGAAAAAACAAATTTGCGTAATTTTGCTTATTTTCATGAAATTATTTCAAGTTATAAAAAATATATGAGTGTGTTTGTTTCAAATTATAAAATTACATTTTTTGAAATTATATTCCTGAAATTTCTAAGAATAATATTTCCACTTATGTGTTTTGAACAAAATTTAAAATTACTAGGAATATTTACAAATTAATTTAATTTAAAAATTATAAAAGTAAATATAATAAGTAGAAGTGGGAAGTTATAGGTAGACTTAGGGGTGTGCAAAAAAACTGGTTTACACGAACCAATTTTAAAAATTCAGTGCATCAATTTTTATAATCCAATTTGTGTTGGATGTGAACCGCTCCAGATCCATTTTGATATCAAAATAAAAATTTGATTTCCATTTTTCATAACCAGTTGTCATACATAAAACCAAATGTATATGATATTATTATTAATGAATAAGGTATTATTAAGGCGCAGGAAATTCAAATTCGTGTAAATCCGTTTATATAATATTCAAATTGAAAATAGAAAACCAATTTATATATTTTATTTATTATTAATTATTTAATTAGAGTGGTGATTAGTTAAGGGAAGAAAAACTTATTAAGTTAATTGTGATGAATGATTGTTAATCTGTGTTTTTTTTGTTTAACTGTTATGGTGTAACAATTGTTTTGAAGTAGATTTTGTCTTGGTTCTAGGATGTTTTGTTTTAGTTTTTTTGGATTCTAGTTTTAGTATTCTGGTGCAACTTTATCATGGATTAAAGTGTAATGATTTTACTCTTAAATTGATTTTTACTTTTTTGCTTTTCAAAAAAATTGTGATAAACGATTTGTGCTGGTGTTTGAATATAATTGTATAAAAATGACACATGTCTTTGCATCTTGTTTCCTTCATTAACCTGGATTTTTTTCGTCTCTTCAAATTAAGAAAGATACAATTTCCTTATAAATCAATTTTGATTGAAAACCGGTTTAAACCGATTTTGAACCGAATTGAAACCATTTTACAATTTTAAATTGGTTATTATAAAAAATGGTTTGATTTTAAAACTAGAACCATTAAAATGGATTGGTTCTTAAAATTTAGTAACCATGCACACCAATATAGGTAGTTAAATTTATTCTCATAAGAATTAGGAATTCTCATCCTTTATGCTTTGAAATAAAAATAAAAAGGTTATGTGTAAATAATATTTCTTAAAATAAAAAATTTCTTAAATTTTTTTTGTAAAACTTAAATCAAATATGAGAATATTAGGTTCCCATATTTATCTTCTCATTAGGGGTGTTCGCGGTTCGGTTTGGATCGGTTTTAAAGCAAAAACTCATCCGATCCAAAGATTAATTCACTTTAAGGTTCGGTTCGGTTTTGGATGATATATTTAAAAAAATTCAATCTGATCCGATTCAATTTTATGCAGTTTAATTTGGATCAGTTTTTGGATATCCAAGTTACACGTTATATTTTTATTAATATTATAAAACTACTAATAAATCATAGATTTGATATAATATATAACATATAGTATATTAAAAGTTAATATTACAAAATGAGAGTGATTGATTATGCTTGAAATAATAAAAATAAATAGATTATACCAAACTAATAAATATTATTAAAAAAATTATTATCATCTAATAATAAATTCACATAACATGTCATACTAATAAAAAGTAAATAAGTATCAAAATATATTTATGCGGTTCGGTTTGGTTTGAATCAGTTTTGAAAAATTCATCCGAAATTCAATCTGAACCGATCGGTTTTCATAAAATAACATCCAAACACAACTAATAACTTTCGATTTTTTATAGTTTTCGATTTTTTGGATCGATTTTCGATTTTTTATTTGAATTGATTTAGATTTGAACACCCCTACTTCTCATGAGAAAACTAAAAAGTTTAGTATGTGTAAACTTGAATCTAAGACACTCTATATACTATTAAAAATTCTTGGCCGAAAACCCTGTCTCCATCACTGAGTTCAACATGTCTAAAAGCATTGGCACGTCACGTAAGATGGCATTATTATAAATGAAATCAAATATAGTAGACTGAGAGAATGAACACAAAAAGCAGAGGACAAAACTTATAAACGCGAGTCGGTATAACTTTACATATATATTACCATTGTTAATTCTTAGAAAATTTATTTGAAACTTCCCAAGTAAGACTTCAGACAAAAACAGCAAAAGATACAGACACTTAAATGTCACAATAATGAGATTCTATTAAATGCAAATTAAAAGCGTTCTTAATCAAATGAGTTTGATCGCCGTCATCAATCTCCATCCCGTCTTGAAAATTACGTGCGTGCGTAGAAAATTACTCGGAAAATGAAAACCTTATTCAAAGATACTCTCGTTGCTCCACCACCTCTACAAATGCCAACAAGCAACAGATTGGCCCGCTTAAAAAAAAATTCAGTTAATCTCATTTGTTGGTTTTTACTTTTTCTCAAGTACATATACAAAACTAAGATTTTTATTTAGACGAGATTATTAGAATTTTTTAGCTAATTTTAAATTTTAATTAGTTCAAATAAATCAATTGAAACCAATTTTTTTTATTTGAACAAATGTATAAAATTTATTCATAAGTTTTGGTGTCATTTTTATAATTTTAAAATTTTAAAATTTTTGGCCAAATTCAAAATTGGAAAAGTAGAGAACAACTTGCCATTTTAAAAATTTTTAAGGATTCGTTTGTAAAATTTGAAAAAAATCATTAAGAATTCATTTAAATATTTTTTAAATTTTAGAAAATATGATACAATTTTTTTTTTTAAATTTAAAATTATCAAAATCTAAGTCATTAATCAATCCTTTGAAATTAGAGTATCATTCGAATACAATAACTTGTAAAAGATTTTATTGAATATCTTGGAATTTCTTTTAAAAAAATTTAAATTATCATAAATTTTGGGAGGGGAGAGACTTTAATGGAGATAAAGGAAAGGGTGGGAAATTTTTTTTTTAATTATTATTTAAATAAGGGGAGGAAAGGAGAAGAGAGAGATTTTGATTAAAAAAAGTATGTGATTCACTGTAGGAGAGAGACATTTTATTACCAATTTATATTTTTACCTGTATAATTTTATATAACTGATATAATATTCAAAAATGAAAAATTCATTAAAAAAATTGAAAATAAAATATGTAATATTGAGTGTTTGAAATGTCAAAATTTACCACATAAAATTAAAAAAATTGAGTAAATTTAATTTGTATAATAACTCTCGATATAAAATAAATTATGTGTTGATAATAATTTTTAATATATAAATTAAATTATTATTATTAAATATTATATACATTATAATATAATAAACAAAAAAATAAATGGTTTAAAATTTTATATAAAAAATATAATAGAATACATAATAAAATTAAAAAAAAATTAACGTATATAAATAAATATAAAATCAAATCTTAAAAAAAAATAAATTAAAATGATTATAATTTATATTAAATAAAAAAATTTAAAGATGAAAAATAATCATAATAAATTAATAATAACAACAAAAAAATAATAATCACACAAAAGAAAAGTAAGAACAAGAAAGAAAATAATAATTTTGAAATACTAAAATAAATGGAGAATATTTTAAGAAATATATTAATTTATTAATATAAAAAATTATTTTTCATTCCCACCCCTCTAAATCCCTCTAATTTGAGAAGAGGCAA